CGCATCCTGGCCATGAAAAAAAAATCATCTGTTTTTTTCGTTTACATTCTCGGCTGTGTTTCGCACAACTCTTTTTTTCTGGAAAAACAAGTCACACGAGTGAGCGATTCAACGCCACGACTGTGAAAAGCCCTCTACACGAGTGTATATATATGTATATTTTATATATATGTATATGTACACAATAGTAAATCGTATATTCAGTTCGGTGCAATATGGAATATCCTGATATATTTTGTATACACGATATGACACTGATCCGAGTCATTGTTTCGGCTTTTTCGTAAACGTTAACCGCATTTCCGTAAACAAGCGCAATATGCAAAATAGATCGTGAAATATTGTGTCAATTGCACATTTAGAAATAAATGGTAAGATCATAGATTCCAAATCGTATAAACAATTCGATGGCATCTCGTCATCGTCGACGTTGACAAACTTTATCGATTGTAAAACAAAAAATCGATCAAAGTTAACAAAAATCTCTCGCTCCCCTCACGATGAAATTCCCGTTCTAAATATAATAAGCGACCGAAATAAATGTACGCAATGTACACTTCAAAAAGAGGATCTTTTAACTTTTTTTTTTTTTTTTTTGTACATGTCAGTGCCAGAAGCGTGTCTATTTTTCTCGATGATAAAACCACATGGTCCAATTGCCAGAAGGGTATCCGCTTTTTATTAACGATACAACACACATTTCAATTGGCACTTGGTTCAAATCTATTATCTGAAAAGCAACATCAGCCAATTTTATCGCGCTTCGTTTCGCTTTATAAAAGTTATCCGTCTTTTCATCCCGTCTCCGTTTCCGAGCTTTCTCTCCTATGTAGCTCACATTTTCCTCGAACTTCTCGTCCGACGGAATTTGCTTTTGCCACTTCTATTCGAATGACCAAGTGACAAGACGTATACAGATTTCCGTTGAAATGTCTTTCGAATACGCGCAATGTAAAATGTACAGGATAAATTTTTTTTACGTATGATGTAATAAAAAAAGTATATATGACCATACTACAAAAAAATAGAATAATATAGAAAACTGAAAATTAGAACCGATATAAATATAACAAACCAATAAGCTTGTATGTTACACCACAAGTAAGTTGTAAGTGTAAGTTAAAAAAATAAATAAATAGACCAAACTTTTTTTAGCCTACTTAGTAATTTGAAGAAAATAAAACAAACTTTCTAAGAATATTTTTTATCTCTATGCATCATTTTACAACTCTATTTTACGAATCCATATATTTATATATACATATATATATATATATGTATGAATAAAATGAAGATTAAGTCATTACTTTTGTGTCAAATTATACGCGTGACATTTTTGAGTTCGTACAAACCTTAGAATATAACTAGTTATTTTAGTTTATATTCATCAACTATACGCACCAGTGGTTTAATCATAATCTTAATACTTGAGGCAATATATCAATATAGGACAACGTAAATTCACGACGTCTAATAGTTAGTAACGATAAAATAAAATGACGACGTTAAGAAGGTGCTTAAAAGTTTCCGCCGAGTGTTATTTTTAAAACGAAGAGATGTCCGTGTGATTTAATAATTTGTTCAATATTTCTAAACTAAAATTATCGATCACTCGAGCAAACGGAGAGAGACACAATTGGCTACATACATAGAATGATGACGTAGATGTGTCTTCTGATATATTAATTTGTGCGATATTAGAACAGGTATCGAGTGGCGGTAAAACGAAACAGAATGAAACACCACTATCTGACTAAAAATGTTATAAAGTATAAATGATACACACTTAGCTGGATATAGTCACACTTATAACGTCGTAGTTTATTCTGGCCTCACGTTTTTCCGAGCCGAGATATGCTCCTTGCTTTACTCTTTATTAACTGAACAAATGTTGTATCATTGTTTTAATCTTGTATCACTGTTTTAATCATACAACAATAAATAATGCTTTGCAAAAACAAACGTGTATTATTATTTAAATGTGTATTATTTAAATTAAATGCACAAAAGCAAATACGTGTCGGATTATAAATATGAGTAAATATTTGTATGTACAATGTGCTTATTCGCGTGTTAAGTTTTACAGAACGAGCAGACGAGCGCGCGTGCATTCACGCAAAGAATACGTATAAAAATACTTATAAAGATACGCGAAAATATTTACGTGAGATATATTTTTTTACGTACGTCGAGAAATTTTCAAAGACACATTGATTAATAGATTTCTATAAGCGTCAATGATCGCGTTCGGTAGAACGCAATCGTCGACGCCGCGGTTCGACAACTATATCTCATCCGACAGGGATATTATACCTACGGATCCTTTGATTCTAAAAAAAAAAAAAAATCCTACCACATATATGAAAGAGCTGCGCTTTTTCAGCGCAAACTGATTGATTGCGCTCTGGCGAACGCGGCCAATGTTTTATCACGCGTTCTGCTCTGAAAATTAAACGGATATCGATCATGTCATAACGATAAATTACTGTTCTTCATTGTTCGTTAATGCACAACTAATAAAATAATCGCATTATTGAATTAGCGTGCAATTCGATTTTGCAATGTGGTCTGTCGTGTAAATCAATTTCTGACCCAGAAGCATATTTATTTATCTCGATACGTTGAATAAAACGAAAGATTCTTTTTTTGAAATGGCACAATTGAATCAAAGATTGAACATCGTATTCTGAAGCAGATACGTGAACCATTTATAATTGTCATCGGATTTTGTGACGTTTACATCGTCGTTACAGTTTATTAATATCCGTTCTTAAAAGTAAAAAACTTGTATTGCGGTTCACGTTGATTCATTGATATTGTGGAAATAAAATAGAGAGATGCGGAGATGAATGTTTCAATTTGTTTTAAGCTTGTTTTGTGATTCAAAATCTTCGTTGCATTTTTATAGAAATGCTTTACGTTAGACACACACACACACACACACGTATCTATATTAATTTATTTCGAGGAATAATCTTAGAACATGATGTCTATCAAATTACAATATTGATATTTCCGTGTTCTTCTTCCAATACTTCAGATTGTTCCGCGATCGATATATTATGACGGTAGCGGACGAACATAACACGAATTTAGATGCTTTATCGAAATCTGCGTTAAACTTTGTAAACGGAACGCATTTTTCTTGAAGGCAAAATCGATGAGAATTACGTTTGACGCGAAATTACTGGGGAAATTGAAGTTGTGCCGAGAATGTGCCAAGGATATCGAACGCTATGGAAAAGATTGAATTAATTTCGGAAACGACAGAATGAGGCACGGCGAGTCGTTAAATGGCGCAACTACTCTCGCGCAATATTACATTTAAACCCTGCAGATTAAATAAAAAATGTTTTATTGCCGCTTTCTCTCTACTTGACTCCTTCAAAAAACCAAAGAGATCAAGAATCAATCCGTTACCATTTTTACTGTAAACGAATGGATGAAAAACTAAAAGTACATGAAGTTTTTAAAAAGAATTTTCTTGAAAAGAACACGGTTTTATGATTTTTATCTCTTCTTCTTTAGAGTTTCAATTTCTGTTTTCGAGTGTATTTTAATTTTCTCTACTCTAAATTAAGCTGCTACACAAACTAATATATCGTATAACATTAACTTACTTTTTAAAGTGTTTGTGAAAAACTATTTACACACAAAAACGCGCACAAAAAGTGAGTTTCAAGTTATGTAACATTTATCTTTCGAAATCTGCAGTTAATAAAAATTACACGTATATATACATACATACATATAACGAGAAAAAGAGAAAGAAACAATGTGTATATATAACTTTTGTGCTTTTAGGTATTTGTCTCAAATTAGAACTTCCTAGTTCGTATCTCATAAAAGTTTAATTATAAAGAAGAAAGTCTTAATGTGTGTATATATTGAAACTCGAGGGTTTGGTAATAGTTTTTAAAAAACAATTTAAAAAAAAATCCGAAGTAAATAGTTGCAAAACTTCTGCGCTTTTAGGCGAAGTTATTGTAGTACAGTTTATTTTAACTCTCAACGTAATGTATTATCTGTAAATTAATTACTGCTCGCGCGCGGCATCGTCAATCAAAATGAAACGTAAATATTTATTCACGCTTTAAAAGCGGTAACCAAAGATTAAGTCAATCTTAATCAACAGAAAGCCGCATTTTGCATAGATGCATTTTATGACAAACTCCTGGTTTCAAACAATAAATAAACTAACGGCGTTTGTTAATTAACTTTCGATTTCGACAGGATTTGTCGAAGATAATTGACAACATCTGGATTGATGTGTCGCGCAGTACACGTAAATGCGCCCGAATTTGCAACCCGACATTAAACGTACTTAAAATATTGTTAAAATTACCAAGCACGAAATTAATTATAATCGTGATATGTGTGTCACGTGATATCTATTGCGTGAAATATCAACGAATAAAGAAAAAAAATAGTAAAATGTAAAACAGAGGATCTAGATTTACAATTTGCACAGTGATTGAGTGCGCAAGCCAACAACAAGAACTGATCTTTACGTTCAATTAATGCATTAATTACCCTTCTGGCGTACAACAATATTCCCAGTCAATTTATCGCGCCGGTGTGGTGCATTGAGCATCCCAATGAACCACAATGAATTCGTTACTCTACGTTTCACACACTTTTCAATACGAATTTTGCAAATTGATTTGCTGTCGAACGTTACACTTGCAATTCTACCAGCTAATTAACCTAAATATATATTATGTAATTAATGAGTTGGTCACTTTATCGAAGAAAATAAAGGAATGTATATTACAATGTTGTGAGAGTTACAATTGCTCGATCTTATTGTTACTATTTAAAGTTATCACAACGCGCGCGCGCGCGTCGATCAGTTTTGCAATCAATTTGTCTATAAAAATATACAATTTACATTAAAAAAAAAAAGTAAACATCAGTGTATACACGTACATCTTCACATTTACGGCATTAAATTTATGCATATTAGTTATATCTCTTTTTTATTAATATTCAAGTGACGCAGCTATTTATAGAGCAAATAAAAAATTAACATAATAAATTAATTACATATTAACATAAATAAACATCATTATTAAGTTCACAGCTAGATTTTTAGAAAAACTTTGAACACTGCTTCCACAAAAAAAAGAGAGAAACGCCGCAGAATTTCGAATCAATTTGTCATTTTCTGACGTACATTAAAGAGGATCAACTGTGCGTCGACAAATAGTGTAGCGACTCAAAAGGCTTGCTTGAAATCCAGATATTCTGTAGTAAAAATCAATCTTCAAAAAGCTCAACAAACAGAGATAATGCACACATTACGTGATTACTTTAATAAATCGCGTTCAAATAAATTTATCAATAGTCAAAGATATACGTGTAAAAAATCAATCGAGATCTCATCGAAAAGAAAACTATTTATTTGGATCTCACGTGAGGTAAAAAGTTTGGTAGAAAAGTTCAACATAAAAGAATTCTACATAAATGCAACTTTGTCGCACGTGACGTGTTTTATCTTAAATTTAAGCTTTTAATTAAGAGCTCAGATTCACACATTCTTCATTGAACGATATGCTACTGCGGAAGTTCTTTCCAAGTAAATACAACGCGTGTCCTTTTTTTGATCCATCTTCGTATTCGTCGTTTTGTTGTTTTTCGAAACAACTTTTGAGAACATATAGTTTAGTGTATAGCTAGTTAAAAGTTCGGGTAATATTACTACAGTTAATATTAATTTAGTTAACATTAATATTGGTCAGTTGGTCGGTCTGAAGATAGGGCGAGAGGGATCGACAACGTTCGCCAGTGTCTATTTGACCAAGCTTGGCAAGCACTATATATTACACGTAAACACATATTAACATGCATTTCTACAACTATCAACGAAGGAATATAAATTTGTTACAGAATATGGAAAACTTTACGAATCAAACATTCGATTACGAATATGATGACGATTATTACATACCGTACAGCCAGCGACCAGAAACCTATTTTGTACCAGTGATATTTTTATTGATTATAATCGCGGGTGTGCTTGGAAACGGTACATTAATTTTCATACTGTTACGTCATGCCAAAATGAGAAATGTACCGAATACGTACGTTCTATCTTTGGCAATCGGAGATCTATTGGTGAGTATATGTGGCGGAAATATAATCTCGCTGTAACGTATATCTCGACAGCTTGTATCGTACAATTTCTGTATTCAAAGATTATTTTTTTCTGCTTTATACGCGCACGTAAGTAAAATATATAATATATACGTACATATATAAAATAATATAACATATACGCATGTATAATACAAGAGTTTCTTATTACTTTTTGTATATATTATATATAGTTTGATGTCAATTATACATGAAACATACAAATCTTAATAGAGCAATGTGCACTTGCAGGTAATTGTCACATGTGTGCCATTTACTTCCATTATTTACACACTTGACTCGTGGCCGTGGGGCACAACTATCTGCAAAGTGTCAGAATTTGTAAAGGATATTTCAATCGGTGTGTCGGTATTTACTTTGGCAGCTTTGTCTGCAGAAAGGTAAAAGCCATATCTTGTTGCAATATATACACGTTACAGCGGAGACTCTTGATGTAAAATGAGGTAAAAACCTAATAAGCCAATTTCCATTTGACTCAACTTGTCAAGGTGCTCGCTTGATTTTCAACTCTCCCTTGCTTTGTCAACACAATGCGCTTCTGTATCTTCTTATGTTTTTGCAGATATTGCGCCATCGTCAATCCTATACGTCGCCACGTAGCAGGTTTAAGCGCAAAACCTGTAACAGTTTTAGTAGCATCTATCATATGGATATTAGCGATTATTTTTGCTTTACCCGCCGTTCTCTTCTCCCACGTTCCGAGTGTACAATTGTATCGCAACTATAGTATTTTTATCTGCAGTCCTTTTCCCGAAGAATTTGGTAAGATATAATATTCTTTTAATACACAGAGTGTCTCTCATTATTACAGAGTATTCCCTTCGTGACTTAAGTCACACGGGACCAATCGTGTTCTCTTTTTTTTTTATTTGTGTGCTTTGTGTGTGTTACAGGAGAGGATTACAAGAAAGGTCTAATACTGTTTAAATTTTTGACATATTACGCGATACCACTATGCATAATAGCGGCTTTCTACTTGAGCATGGCGCGGCACTTGATGTTATCCACCACAAATATGCCAGGTGAACAAGCCAGGGATAATTACTTGGATCAGATAAACGCGCGAAGAAGGGTACACCATTATCACATTTCTTTAAATCGAAATATATTCAATATTCAATATTCAATCTTTCAATATATCAGTGTGTTGACAAGTTTTTGCAATCGACAGGTTGGCAAAATGGTAGTGAGTTTTATCATTGTTTTTTTCATCTGTTTTCTGCCAATTCACGCGTACAACTTGTGGTTCCACTTCTGTCCCACAGCGATATACGATTATAATTATTTTTGGCACTACTTCAGAATATTTGGGTTCTGCCTAAGTTTCATCAACAGTTGCGTTAATCCCATCGCTCTTTACTTGATTAGCCGAACGTTTCGCAAAAGGTAAGAGTAGAAATGTTACTTTGTAAAAAACAAATATAACAAAAAACTACTCATTCTGTTAAGTTAACTAAAAACAAAATTACACGGAGATGTAAGTATCGCGTGAGATACAAAGAAACAGACGCAAACTTTCTTGCTCCAAAAAGTAATCTTGTTCAATTATTTATGCTAATAGAAGTAAACAAAATAAAGGTTTTGTTATTTTTCCTAGGATCTTGGTAAAGTTTCGCAACCAAATTGCATGCAAATTCTTCCTTACAATTCGCATGACAGAGAGTGTTTCTAAACTTTTTTGTTGCCGACTTTCATTGAGTATTATTCTAAAACTATTGGCGAGATACACGTGCAGAGTGTTCCACAACTAACGCATAAAAATATAATAATATATAATGTACAAATTATCAAAAAAATCAACTTTAAAAAGTTTGTATTAAATTTAAAAATAACGTTAGGTAACGAAAAAAAACTTTGACATTTTAAAAGAGCAAGAGAATTTTGTTTTATACGACAATCGTTCGTCTTCGGCATTAATTCTGACACACTCGTGTGTGTTTTCGTTCTTCTTGTAGATTTAACAAATATTTGTGTATTTGTACATCCAACGGCATTGCTGCTGGCCGCAAGAATCGAATAAGCAGCAGTAGAAATCACGACGATAGCGCTTTGTCCCGAAGAAATCTGAACTTACGGAGTACGCTTCGTGAGACTAGTTTTATTATTAATCCTACCATTCGAAGGCGGACGCAAGATTCCACAGAAGTGTTCGAACCAGGAGGAGGTATAGAAACTAGAGCTAGTCTGAACAACCGGAGGTTGCTTTTTTAAGTAAAATTTCAAAATTTATAAGGTAAAAATACCAATACCGGGATCTTTAAGATCGTATATGACTTTTGGCTTCATTAAAACTTGAAGAACTAATCTTCTCATGTTTTCTGATGTTTATGAGATGTTAATAGAGCGTATGATGCCTTTCTACATGAAGTTGCACCAAATAATACACTTCGAACAACGAAAAAAATTGTTTTAGTGCAACTTTACGTGGGAAGGCATTTGTGTACGCTTTCAACTGTATGTACACAACGCATCTCTTTTAGAATTAAGAATAGAATTATATAGAATTTTTCCTTGATTTTCTTTCTTTCACAAACAGAAAACTGTCAAATCTGTATATCGGACTCTAAGACTTTAGACTCTAGTTATTAAATCACAATCTTGTTTGCAGAATTAAGTAGAATAAAAAGTATTATTAATTTCTCCCTACAAAAAACGTTATTCATGTTGTTATTGTCTTTTTTTTTTTTTTTTTATTTTAGAATCCTTTGAAGCCAGCGGATTTACCACTGCATAAATTTGGAAACAAAACGAAACCTTCTGCTGTGTTTACTAATGTGTATAATTTCGTTATAAAAAGAACCACGTCATCGCACACTGTCTAATCCGTTTGCTATATCGATGTCACTTCGATGTCATCACTCACCAAGAGACACGGCAGTTCGTTCACATTACGTCGAACTGTTACGCCAACTATAGCTATAAGTAACTCTATGTGGTACCTGAAGTAATAAAATAATTCCAAAGAAATAATTTTTGATCCCATCTTTTTTCCCCTCGTTATTGACTACTTTTTAAGTTAGTTTAGTAAATTTCTTTATACAATTGTGTCGAGCTACAGCAATAGCACTATTTTGTTTTCTCTTCTCCTGCGTGCATTTCTCAGCAAAATTAAAATTGTGGCAAGATATGTCCGCGCTTAGCTTTTGCTGGCAAGTTGCTTGTCGTAACAGCTCGACAAATCTAATTATAATACCTTACCTCGCTGAAGACAATGCTGAAGTCAGGTCAGGCCGTATTTAGCACCGGTTGATTAGATTCGAGTTGTCTACAATACCGATCGGATGCACGTAGTTGATCATTCCTCTTTATTGTACGAATCACAAACGCTTTTACACACAAGTAAAGATGATATTCAAGTAAAGCACACGTCAGATATAAATTTTATATGAAAACCAAGAAAAACTTTTTCAACTACAGCTTCCTGTTTCACTTGTAGCTGTAAATACAGTTGCTATAAGCCCGTTCTACATTACGCAAGGTATAGATCTCGTAGAATTGACCAATTACGCTGCTCAATTGGCTGATTTGATCAATACGATTAGTCAATTCTACCAGACCTGTTCCTTGCGTTTGCGCTTGCGATCAATGTAGAAAAGGCTATAATTGAAAGTACCTACTGACTTAGCACAAAAGTCCGAAAGACGTCGTGAAGAAATCTAAAAACGACTAATAGTTTAATTAATTCTTTCAGATATCTTCATATCTTTTGGGTTTTTGTCTAGGAAAATTCTTTCAATTAAGCAGATATGTACTTATTTGAAAGGTCCGACTGTAGAGTCCGAGTCATGCTACATATGCTTCAAAGCGTATACGAGATATACGAAGAGCTTTATACACGTAAGAAAATATTTTCCAACATAATATATTTTGCGTCTTTTTTTTAAGGCAATAAACTTGATAATGGAAATATAATTACCAGCAACCTACATATTTACAAATTCTTTTAACGAATACCAGCATGATAAAGCTTTTCAATTTCATCACAGCCCCTATACGTTTTGCTTTCTCGCGCATAGGATTTGCCATATAAAATATATCTACAGAAAGAATACACATATGTTATATATATACACATTAATCGAAGATGTATCGAGACATTCCTGAATAAATTTGTTCCTTTAAGTAAACGCGTCTTCATACTACATAATCGTATTTGGAAACGATGTGTAAAACAATAAATAGGCACTCGTGTTTTGCGATTTTACTTGACTCGGTGACACTTCCGTGACAGTCTGGTCATCATACTTGTACCATCTGCAAAGAGAAATAAACACATCAAATTGAAAAAGTATAATACATATGAAAGAAATCAAATACAAATGTAATTGCTATGTTATGTATAAAGTCCGACCCTATTTTTTTCACACAAAAATACACACGTACTTATTTTGAGTGGCGTTTTTGCAAAACGCCGTATAATGGCCACCGTCCATCGTTCCGTAGTGATTAGACATTGCGTATAAGTTGTAGTTATAATTGCGAATACTGTTGGATACAATTGTCTTCGTATTCTCCACAACAAGATAAGATTTCAAGTTAAATCCTGTGAGGGGAAAATCAACAGCGGTGTTTCGTTTCTCTAACCATCCGCCGCTTTCAGCGAACCGATTCAAGTGAATGACAACGATGGGAGCGAGTTTGACGAAATCAAACTTTTTTGTCGCGTCGCGGGGTGCTTGGCATTTCGGACATTTCCATCCGCTCACTTTTTGTCCCGTCACAAATTTCTCCATACAATCCTGAGATAACAAATGTGAGCAGAACAGTAGAATTTTACCATACATATCACACATTTAAGTCATGATATTACATAATAAAGCAAAATACTCACATTTAGAGTACATCTATTAGACTGAGGTAGAGACATTGTTAAACTATTAAATGTCTCATATGTAGTACTCGCTTGTTTGCAAAACGAACACGTGATGGTAGATCTCAATTGTCCAAAAAATAAGTCGGATATTATAGATCTTTGAGAATTCATCGCCTTGTCCCACTCTTTCTCAGCGTTAGTCATTTCAATCGACGGTTTTACGTCCTACGAGCAAACGCCGATATTTCTGATAAATGTATTTTTGTTTTTGTAGAGTTTACGTTATAATACTCGTTATTACAGATTCTTACCTTTTTAAGATCATTATGCATCCAGTCTAAGAGAAACGTGAGAAATTCGTGAGAATCTTGTTGCTCGTAACTTTCAAACTGCAACTTATATTGCCCGACTGCAACCTGACAACAGTGATAATTGGTGACAATAGACAAAACTATGCTGGCGCATATAATAATTAATTATATTTATAATTTGTTCAACCATGAACGACAATAAATGGAAATCTTATTTGATATTCAAAAACAAAAATTAGATGATAGTACCTTTCGGAGGTAGAGGCAAGGGGTTCCAAGAGGCGCAAGCCTGAGGTTCCCCTTGCCAAACAGACGGCGCAGGAGGCGCCGAGTGTCGGGGGGTCCTCGACAAGAGAATCCCCCTCGAAGAAGAAGGCCTCCGAGGCCAAGGCTTCGGGGGCTTCCAGGAAGCCTGGACCCAAGTCCTCCAAGCCCACTTAGTGGGTTGGGCTTGGGTCCAACACTTCGGGGCGGGAGGGTGCAAGTCCGGACTTGCACCCTCAGGACCCAGTCCCCTCGGGGACTGCTTGGTCCGGGTGGGGAGCGCCAATCTTTGGTTTAACCCTCCAGACCGAGGTCTGGAGGGCGGGGACTTGGCCGGGAGTTGGGGGACTCCCGGTCATTGCACAAGTCCCCGGGTGGGGCGGCTGAAGGGAGTTACGGCCCTCCTTTCAGCCGCGAACAGGATAACTTGCCCGTACGGGCGCGCGAAAAGGAGTCGTCCTCGGTTTGGGGGGCGACGGAGAGGTCCTTGCGACGTAATAGCCGCGAGGCTGCCAGGGGACCTCTCCTGATAAGTCCCAGTCAGAAGGCCATCTTGGGGTTTTAGTGGGTGCGAGTCCCACACTCCCCCTCCTCTTCCCCAGGGGAGGGAAGTGCGTAGGCATTTCCCCAAGTAAAAAAAAAAAAAAAAAAAGATGATAGTACCTTTAGATCGTGAGGAGATATGCTTTTATATTGGCCTCTCCATAATGCTTTAATCACTTGAGCTACTTCTTCCACAACCTGACCTTGTGTCATATTATTGTTACTTGTATTGAGATCGTCAGCATATGAATTATCAGTGAAGTATTTTGCCAAGTTTGTTGTATTACTCAAGCATTGAATGATGCTATTCATGTAGCAAGAATTGCCCAAGTTCTTCAGGCCAGTAATACCCGGATGCTGTAAGTACAAGAAAACTACACTAATGATGAAACATTTCACTAATTGAATATCACAAACATACACACATTCATTCTGTGTTATTGTGATAAACAAATACATTGTTAAGAAGAACATCCATAAAAAACTGTCTTATATATCGTCTCGTCTCTCTTGTGCTCTATTTTAATCTTAGAGTTATTTATCTGCTTGAGATAAATTTATATTTTAGAAGCCAAATTTTTTATACTTTTTAGAAAAATAATTTAAAAACGAAGTCTTAGACAATTTTATAAAATGGTAAACAAAACTACGTGCAAACATATCTAATCTGTCTTCAAAAGCCACTTTTACAATTGTAAACATTGTATATGATTTATGTAATGTAATTAAACAGAGAGAGTTGTCGACCATCAACATGTGATGATCAATTAAACCTTACAACACTTTTTTTTATGTCATATCAGTCTTAATCTTATTATGTGTTTTAACGAAACTAATATATTTACTTTACAGATTTTTTATTTTTTGTCATCAGGTATATTCATAAGATATATATATGTGTGTGTGAATATATTAAAATATTTAAATGTATTTGTGTATATTATTAGTTATTTATGATTATTAGTTATTTATAGTCAACTAAAGATTATATTAAACCATACAAAAAATATTGTATATAAGCATTTGAGAAATTTATATTACAGATATATTAAATATGTACATATAAAATGTGTCTCAAAATTCGAGACTCTTTACATTATAAAGATATGTTAAAAGCAGAGATGCCACTATGGATAAGACACAATGCTATTAGTTTTGGTATATTAGAAAAGACATATATTTTAGTACACAATACGAGATATAAAAACAAAAACAATACTAACTGCATATCACATTTTATTCTTTTACTGCTGCGATTACCTTTTTAAAATAATTAAGCAATTGCAACGCAATAGATTTTCTCTGGAGATACACCATTGTTTAACATTTTTCACCACACTACCAAAAAATTATTTTATCACGAGATAATAAGCATTATGTTCATACACGTAGTTAACTATGTTAATGTTTATCGAATTAGAATAGAACATCATTTTACCGTATCACCAAGCGAGTTAGCAAAAAGAGAAAGAAAGAAAAAAAAAGATATTATATAGGTATTAATATAAAACCTGCTCGTTTTTACATTAAAAAAAAAAAAAAAAAAAAATTACAAAACACAAATTTTACTCGATAAACCTTCTTGACAGGTGACTTAGCAAATATTTTTTGAACACTGTCACGTGTGTGCATCATAGCAATAATAGATAGGAGTTACGTCTATGGATTGGATTGAGAAACCCTACATGTGTGTGAGTCGAGGATACACGTGCGTACATATTTTTTTTATTGTATCCCACGTGACCATAAAACGTGTGTCCCACGAAATACTGACATTTCTACATAATTTCACGCACAATTTATTAGGCGCGAGATAACCGAGCGATGCGTATCTACCGTTGTATTACTTTGTCGCTTTAGTTTTCTATGCCATTATAGTCAACAGCAAACTATTAATTATTAACTATATGTCTCATATATCTTTACACGTACGCGTATCCAATATTTTATGTACTGATGACTTTGCAATGAATTCACGCTTGAACGAATTTACAGACACACACACACACAAATACAGATGTTAATAAATAAGTGATAATTACAAAATGTGTAACCAAATGTGGTAAATCGAGAAATAAAATATTTTTCTACAAAAAACAATTAAAAACAAAGTTTTAAATTTGTATCTATTAATATCTTTTTCTGAAAATAAATATGTTAAATATATAACATAAATTAATTTCTAATTCAAAAACTAAACACTGTTATATATGTATATATATTGTCATAAATAAATAAGTATATATATATATATATACATATACATGCATATTATTCCTAAAAAAATTAAATAATTAAAGTTAAATAACATAAAATTCTATGTATCTGTGTGTGTGTGTCTAACTGATTAAATATTATATGTTAAATATATATTATGTAAAATAGTAAATTTTGTTGTTTGTTAAGTATATTAATCATTCCAATATTAAAATTAAGAGCTTAGATTTATTGTTAGTACGTATACTAAGCGTTACATGAAATGAAAGATACAAGATCTGACGATAAGATCTGAAATTAATTTTTATCAAAATGATTTTTCGAAGATATACCAATACCGCGGATGATGAAAGCAAATATAAGCTGCGACAATATTTTTTAAATTGTTTAGCAATTTTTTTGCTGAAAGCGCCTGCACAATTCTTGTCCGAATAAGTACTTACAACATTGCCATGAATAGGAGTCATTCGTTCTTCCCGATTACCCCAAATAAAAGGGGATACTTTGTTGTTTTCGTTCCCAATAGATCCATTTTGATTGCGAGGCGATATATGAGGCTTAGATGTTCTATCTACTTGAGGCGCTTTACGATCTCCCAACTAATGGAATTACGTAGAAATGATCGTGGGTAATTATGTGATTGCTATTGTAAATAGATAATAGAAACAAAAAAAAAAACCGGATTTGTAAAATTATATACTGCTCACTTTTTCACATACCTGCAATAAATTCGGACTCGAGTAAGAACGCTCTAAACCAGTATTAATAGTCAAGCCATCTGATTTCAGAGGTTCTTTGTAAATGTCACCATCATTTTTCATTGTTATTTCCTTATATTCTTTTTCTGAGAAACTTCTGCAATTATGCGACAATACGAATTAAAACAAAAACAACAAACTTGATTTTCAATAAAATTCTGAAGGAACAAAAATTATTGTTGTCATTTTTTTAATTCTAAGGTAACTACGTTTTGAGTTTAGAAAAAACACTTTTCCTGTTTACTAAGAATTTTGTTATAAATTATTATTTCAAATTCTAAAATGTCCTTAATAAAGTTTTCTAACTTCTATAATAACAACAAACAAAATTTTATAAAATACTAATTATAATATATAATTATATACAGACTCTTGTAACTTTTTCCGTTTGCCTTCAATTTCTTTAAGTTTCATTTTTAATCCGCTAAGGTTCAATTCGAGTGTTTTCTTCTCATTATCATCAGTAAGGTTAAATTTAATTGTATCTACTTCCTTCATATATGTGTTAAACTCGTTTTCTACTTTAAGATACATTTTATGCTGTAAGAAAAATATAATTTTTCATGTAAATTTAATACCAATTAAAAATTTGTTTACTTATATGATCATCTTGAGATTTTTCACACATAAACTAATACTAGTCAAAACACATGGTAAGATGATAAATAAATTGTTAAATAAATACCATGTCGTCAAATTTAATTTTTAAGGATTTGATCTCTCCGCGTAGATATTTTTCATCACTAGCGCTGTACTTGTCTTCTCGTTGCGAGTATAGCTCGTATTCTTGATTCAATAACTCATTGGCCAGTTTTACTTTCGACTTTGCCAATTCATTCAGCTCTTTCATGAATGTCACTACTTTTTCACATCGTGGATCATACGTCTTCAACGCGGCTGGTTTGCTACTGCGATCGATTATTGGTTTTGCACTCACCTCGTTGTGAGACACATTATTCGATATTTTATACTGATGAACTGTCTCCGAATTCTCGAATTGCGTATTATTACCTCGAGGCGAGATTGTTTGTCGTCGTTTACTGTCGATTGTTACATGACTTGCAACAAAGCTCTTAGACTTTGCTGAAGAAATGGCGTTGTTGCCGTTTGATTTGGCATGTTTAGACACTATTGACGACTTGTCACCATATTTCATCTCTACATCACCATCCATATCTGACATTATTACGTTATTCACTTTGCTGTGCGCTTTCTTTGAAATGTCATTTTCATCTTCCTCCAAATCTGGATATTCAATCGTCTCTAAAATCTCATTCTCGACATTATTAAGCTCAATTGCATTCAAATTAGGATTTGTTGTAAATGCAGGATATCTCATCAACCATTCCTGATATCCTCCATTAAGAAATGCAATTTTGTTATATTTTATACCAGGATCCCAGTTTTCTAAAATATCTTTCAGATCATTTAAGTGAGTAGCAGATTTCAGAGATTCTTGTGTGGTATTCCAGTCTACTAAAACTACAGCATCTACATACTGTGCCGATCTGCGTTCAAATAAATCATAGGAATCCTTCTCTTTATCGAAGCATTTTGAAAAATTACAGGCCAGAATTCTGGAAACACATTAATTATTTATACATGCATTATATATTATATATACATATAAATATCAATATAAAAAATATATACATATATATTTTACATTGATACAAGTAACAAATGCAAAAGGAAAAGAATAAAATTTCTACACACATAATATAAAGAAAAAAATGATAAAATATTCACCCTCTTCTAATCTCAGATTGTGGAATGTTAATGCACTTGTCAGATTTTATCTTGGAACTGTCATAATGAGCTTTTGGCCTGATATCAATGACCAAGTATCGTGATTTTTGTAACAAATGATACAATTGATCGCAGGATATAAATTTATCACTGTCACCATATAAAGGATCATCAGTTGGTGTTTCTGGCAATGTTAATGTAATGTCAACATTTGGTATATATGTCTCTGTTTTATCCACCTGTCCATCTATCTCCATTTTCTCTCCAGAAATATTGTGTTTCTTGGAATTACGCTCATAGCGTATCTCTAACTTTTGCTTCAAGTCTGCAAGTATGTTTTTCACTTCATTTATCTATAAAATACAAAATGTTTTTACATATACATATGAATTTTACTGTTTATATATATATATATATATATATATATATATATATGTATGTGTTTATAACTTATTTTATATATGTTACTCTTTTTTTATACCTGGTCAGTATTTATATTCGTAGAATACACTGATTTGCTATTTTTATAGTCTGTAGTTTTTCTTATCCACTCAACTGTTTCTAACCATCTCTGCAACATAATGTAAGCATTCTCATCATCTCCTTCTTTTCTTAAATCATCAGATTTCTGTCGCATAGTGGGAAGCCTTGAATTTACACTGCGTGGCTCTTTTCCCGTCATATTAACTTTAGCCCTTTTTACAAGGTCAGCGATACAAGTATATTTCAAATTGGCTGTATTAGACATTTTGTTTGCTTTCAGAGACATTTTGTCCGCTACTTCAAAGAACAATGTTGAGAACAATATGTGAGGAATGTAAATAGTCCAATATCTGTCGTGTGTTAAAAAGAGGTGCAGAGGTTAATCGCTTAATCTATTTAGTCTAGAGCTACACGGACAAGTGCTCATTAATTGCTTATGTTGATTCGTGGAGGACGAAGACGTCAAATAAATTAGAACAACTATTTTGTCCTGTGTTTATCATCATTTAGCACTATCATATCACTGAGAAATCCTTTCTGTCACATAAATTTATTATCATTTACTATTTAAACAAAAGTTGTACTGAATCACACATACACATACATACAGTGACATACACTCCCTTTTTGATTTGAAATATTCTCATGAACTATAGATGTCACTGAAAGTATTATAATGTAGCGGTTGATCACTTGGTAGCAGCACTATCGAAAATACATTGGATCATTGGGTGCGTTCAGATAACTCAACGGTTGAGAGATCATAACTTATGATAGGACTATTCTTCAAAATATGCAGCGGTTCCAAAAGTATGATCCAATCAGAAGTGATTATCTCTCAACCGTTGTGCAACTGTTGAGTTGTCTGGGTTACGTTCCAAAATCCTACCTTGACAACCAAAAACTATAGTACACGTGACGTAAAATATAGCATTTTAGTAACCAAGGTAGGATTTTGGGACGTAACCCTGAACGCACCTATTTACTTTAGCTGCGTTCCGTTTCATGCATATGCGCACATTTGTCTATATTATACGTGACGTGTACTATAGATAAGTGCGCGCATATGCGTGAAATGGAACGCACTCTTTGATTGGTGGATTTTTCATCTTTTTTTTGTTCCATAGATAGATGAAACCACTGAACTATAATATGGAATGCGCCTTGCCATTGTGCAAGCTGTCCGCGATAGAGAGCATCACAACTAGGATCTCTGTCTTTGTCTCGTCGTCGCTGATTGGGTGAAATTTATACGAGTACAGTCCAAGACAAAAGAAGCTCAACGGTTAGTAATTGCTGAGCAAAATTGCTAAGCGCTGATTTCTGTTGAACGCAGTCATTCTTTACTTATCGTTGTTCTTTTGTCTTGGACTATACTCATTGTTAAGCGCTGATTTCTGCTGAACGCAGTCATTCTTTACTTTTTGTTGTTCTTTTGTCTTGGACTGTACTCGTATAAATTTCAACCAATAAGCGACGATGAGACAAAGACAGAGATCCTAGTTGTGATGTTCTCTATCGCGGACAGGGGTACGTTCCAAAATCCTATCTTGGTTACTAAAATGCTAATATTTTACGTCACGTGTACTATAGTTTTCGGTTACCAAGGTAAGATTTTGGAACGTATCCCAGCTCGCACAATGGCAAGGCGCGTTCCATATTATAAGTTCAGTGGATGAAACGTAATAATAGCACGAGTAAACTTAAATGAATTAACCAATACAAAATACGACTTTAACTAAAAGTAAGCGAACTGACCAATCGCATGCGAGCGTTGTAAAGACCGTTTGGAGATGATCTTTTTAAAACTTGTCTGTGATTGGTCAATTCTCTTATTGCTTTTTTTTATGTGTCGTCGGTCTAAAGATCATAGCGCAGCTAAATTTGATAGATGTATGCATGATGGGTGCGTGGTCAGGGTTAAAGCAGTTAAAGGTTGCTAAAACAAAGCAATAGATATAACCCTGTTTGTCTGTCTGTAAGTGGTGTTGCATCAGCCGTACCGGTTGAATGTGCGTAGTTACGCTTAGATATTTTTGGACAATTTACGGTGTTTTTACACCGACTTCTTCAGTTTATCAGTGTTTTAACGAACATACAACTCCGTGGCTTGTACCCAAACCACGGTTTAGGACTTGTGTTACGATTCCTATAGACTTAGAATGGCGTATGGACTATCTTGAAACGGTCCTTTGAGCCATATATGCACCAAACCAACCAAACCAAAGCAATAGATACGTAGTCATCCAATCTACTTCTTATAAAAAATTGACGAAAATTTCATATTAATATGATTTTCGAAGCTTAGGCTGTGTGTATTAAAGAACAAATTGATTCACGTGAAATTCTTGAAGATATATATAGCCGCTACTTGAGTGTTTAACACAACAGCTCTTTAGCACACACTTTTCACTTTGTGGGACACAATGGATGTTCTGAACAAGCTCCGAAACACAGTCAGCAATACTATCAGCAATACCGTCCAAAATACGGCATATGGTTTGTCGCAGCTTTCAAGTGTGTTACCTGGCAATCCTGTAACCAGAGAATTTGAAGCAATTGCTCATGTGGCAAGTGCCGGACCAGGATTACTGTGGAAAGTTTATAGCGGCTATAAGAAGTCTACCAAACAAGAAGCTGCAATTTTTGTTTTTGAAAAACGCATGCTAGAAAAATGGTCTGGCAAATCAGATCGTGAACTTGTACTGGAGACTTTAAAACGAGGTGTAATGCAGTTGACAAAACTGAGACATCCACAAATTTTGACAGTGCAACATCCATTGGAGGAATCAAGAGATAGTCTTGCATTTGCTACTGAACCTGTATTTGCTAGTTTAGCTAATGTATTGGGTAAAAAACAACAATCTATGAAATATAATATCTATAATAACATATTATAGATTAAACTGAATTATGCTCTTATCAATATTTTATCAATTTGTGTAATATATCTTAGGCAATTACGAAAATATACCTCAGCCAATTCCAGTAAACTTGAGGGATTATAAGCTACATGATATAGAAATACGTTATGGACTGTTACAACTGGGAGAAGGTCTGACATTTTTACATGGAGATGTAAAATTGCTGCATAGGAATTTGTGTTCAGAATCAGTTGTTATTAATAGTCATGGAGCATGGAAGATATTTGGCTTTGACTTCTGTGCCTTGAATCAAAGTTCAGACAGTAAACAGGTATGAAGATTACATCTATGTATATTAATATATATAATATATAACTTGTATATAATAATATTATATATATATATGTCATAAATATAAAATGTTTTAATATATATAAAACTTGTAATCATATTGCATTTTTTATTATAGCCATCATGGTCATGTTTGGAATATGATCCTGTACTTCCTGTTGTTGTGCAACCTCAGTTGAATTATCAGGCACCAGAATGCATATTAGCAAGTAGCACTGGACCACCAAGTGATATTTTTGCTTTAGGCATGTTGATATATACTCTACATTCTTCGGAACATCAGTCTCTTTATGATTCTCATAATGATCTTGGAAAGTGTCGACGTTTTCTAGAAAATTTTAAAGGATTCAACATTTCAGCAAAATTGCTTTCAGTTCCTGATACTCTGAGAGATACTGTCAAGCTTATGTTAAGTTATAATCCAGAACTCAGATTAGACTCTTATCAATTCATAAAGGTAGATTTTTCTACAAATCATTACTCACAGACTTTTGTTCAATTTGTTTTGGATTACAACAAAAGGATTATAGCTTTAAAAAACAATTTCTTTATTGTTGCAGATTGAGTATTTTTCAGACATTGGCGTTAAAACATTGAATTACTTGGACAAATTATTTCAATGGGATAATCTTCAAAAGTCACAATTTTACAAAGGTCTTCCACAACTCTTGAAACAATTACCGCATAGAGTTGTACTACATAGAGTGCTACCCGCACTTTATAAGGAATTGGTCAACCCACCAATGATACCATTTGTATTGCCAAGCATATTGCAGATGATGGAAGTTGTTGAAGTAGAAGAATTCCGAGAACACATTCTTCCTAATCTCAAACCTGTTCTTGCTTTGGAAGATCCGCCACAAGTAAGTAACTTGCTAACATTGACAGTAAATAACTGTTTTATTTAGTCACATTGTGCGCGTGTGTAATACTAAATAAAATAAAATGTATAATATACAAGAAAAAATAAAATAATACATTAATTACATGTATATTTCCATTACAGATTAGCTTGGTCTTGATGCAACAAATAAATTTATTACTTAAACTATGTCCGACGGAGGTTATTAAGACCGACATAGTGCCTATGTTATTACGTGCATTAGAATCCGAATGGGAACAACTCCAAGAGCTCTGTTTGTCGGCATTGCCAAATATAGTGACGACGATTGAGGGACCAGTGATAAAAAATTCCATACTGCCTAGAATGAAAAAAATATGTTTATTACCAGGAAAGAAATCATCCAGTCTGGGAGTCCGCGTCAACTGCTTGTTGTGTCTCGCAAAAATGTTACCAAATTTCGACCGTTGGTTGATATTTGATCAGATATTACCATTTTTACAAGAAGTTCCTCATTCTGGCGAACCGGCTATTTTAATGGCTATTATAGGTAATGTGTAAGAATGTAATTTTGTCTATATTTTGCGTGTATATAGAATAGAAACATTCTTTAACAACTTCTATATATTTTTTGTTTCTGAATATATATGCATGTATTGCAAGATTGTTTCTCAGCATAACGGAAAATCTTTTGTCACACGTTCATTATCCAGGTATATATCGAATGTTACTTACGCATAGTAAGTTGGGCATGAGTAAAGAGATACTGGCAACAAAAGTATTGCCTTTCTTGTTGCCTCTCTGCATAGAACAAAACCTCAGCATGTCGCAGTACGAAACGCTTTCTACTCTGATCATAGATATGATAAATCGAGTAACAAGCGAACATCGAGAGGCTTTACGACAACTGGATGCTGTGCGTCGCGAGACGCAACAACTTGACCAGGCGCTCTCTCAAGTAACATCGCCCGCTTTTATGCAAAATAACAGTTTAAACGATATTTCTTTAACACCAGAAATTTCATCCTCGAACATTCAGTCGAAAACAGTGAATATCGAAAATGGATTAACTGTCGAAGATAAACTCAGGTTTGTAGTTTTTCAAACACTTTCTATCTACACATACATACTTTTTCTCATATCATATTCTCTAATTACGAAATTTAGACACATAAAATAATTGTCTTTTTTAATTTTAGGTTAATTCAACAACAAGAAGCTCATCAAAGATTGCAATCTCAACCTATTTTGACTCCTAAAGCTGTGGTACAATCTGCAAAACAACAGCCGAAGGATTTGACCGCTACTCTGCTGAAAAATAATCTAGACGAACTCAATCTGTCTATGTCAAGATCAAATATGTCGCAACAACCGGATTACGCGGCTAAAAATAATATGAGCTTTTCTTGGAATAAAAATAACAATATTAATCAAGCGCAGTTTTTAACTACGTCTCCAATGATTAATTCGCAAATGATGTCGAATCAACCAATGAATTGGAACTCGAACGGCATGAATACGTCCATAAACTGGAACTCATCACAACCTATGTCGACGTGGAATTCGATCACTCCTCAAAATAATATGAATTTCTCAGCGCAATCAGATGTTAGGCCAAATTTTCCTGGAACATTACAGCCTTTCATGTCCAATACGCAGAGCAGCGCGAATAACACTAATTCATCTACGCAAGATATTATGGATTTGCTTAGTTAATCTAAATTTTTTTTGATATAAGCAACGGACTTTAAAAATAAAAACAAAGTATTGCAGAATAATAATATAATTACTGTTTCCATGAAACATATTTCTTTATTTGATATAATTTTTGTGCTAATATTATCGATAATCACTATCGCAATGATTGCAAGTACAGCCGTCTTTTATATATCAATCTAAGCAATCTTAAATATATTATATATAAATATAAATATATATTACTTGTATATTATAGCAAATAGCATTTTTAATTTTCTGTGTAGTTTACAAGCACTACCTTTGTATGGAATAATTGCCATTTGCAAATCTTATTATGTTTCGACAAAGAAAAGTTTTTTTTTTATTAAGAAGATAGCATTTACCATAAATCTAATATATTATATGTAATATGTATATTCGTTCTCAAGAGAAGTTTTGCGAAATATTGTTTTTGTTCATATGTTATAATTCTATATTATTCTATAGTTTTTTATATTAAGATATAAAAGATTTTTGTTAAAAAATATATATTTACATTTTATATTTGTCTCGTGTAATAATTCCATAGTGATTTCGTGTAATAAATTGTGTGATAATTTTTAATAATTCCAATGAGATGCTATGTATGACTATATACTATATTATGTCAAAATGTGTATATATATATATATATGCACACTATAGCTTGTTTCTTTGTAAATTATTTGTCATTCTAAATACATTATAATATTACATAATCTGTGTACATATGCTATAACACACATAATAGTACAAGTTTCTTAAGAAATATATTAGATTTGAGAATGTGATAAAATCATAGAGGTGTTTTTATACAAAAACGCGCGCGCGAACACGGTGTGTTTTCGTAATTTATCCCGCTATATGTTCTTACATTTTGATGTACATACATAACTTAGTAAGGAAATCTTAGTAAGGAAATATAAGCGTTATATATACATGCGCACACATACACACACACGTGTGCACATGTGTAGATGCGTAAACGTTCTTTATTCAAACACAATCTGTAGTCAATGCCCTTTTACAATGCTCTTTGCAAGTTTATTGTAATATATCGTTTATTATAAAGTAATATTCTGTCTGTTAATTAACACAATTATATTATCTCTTATCTCATCTGTTTTTCTCTTATCACAAAAGTGATAGAAAATCTTTTAATGTACATTTCTGTATTACTATATAATAAATAATAGACAAATGTACAATAATGTGTAATTAATGATTACTGAATTTATGAAAAAATAAAATTACTCGATTACAACAATATTATTGAACGTTTTTTTTTCATCCTTTTATCCTTTGACATTTTTTTTCGACGCATAGATATGTAAATTTTGTTCGTAATTTAATGTAACTGTGTACAGAAATTAAAATGTGTGTGTATGTACATACATTTTGTGTGTTAATGCTAATTTTAGTCTCTATTTAATAGTTTTACATTTTATTTTCTTACTTTAACCGTGCTAGTTTTTTTTGTTTTTACGTGCAATTTGTTTTCCGTGAAATTGACTACGAGTTTTCTCTACGAAAACGCGGGCCTTTAATATACAATCGAAAACAAAGGAGCTTGCGTTAAAAAGGGACATTGGCCCCGTAATTGCTATACCTACTACGTCATAAAAGAAACGCCAATTTCTTTGTTCTCGGAACACGCTCAATTAGATGTCGCAGACGATAGCCATGCGTGTGCACAGCTACGTATCAGACAGAAGACATGCTGGAAATATCGATTATTTAAACTATACTATCGCGCCGCGCACCAGGACAGGACACAATTGCACCGAGACGCGAAGAATACGTCTTCTTTCGACTAGACAATTAAATAAAAAAATATTTCTACACCCCGTAGAAAAAAAGGGGTTGTTAAATATGAAGAGAGGGGTTTGCTCGTTAATTGACTGAGTATGCTTGTATAACAACCCTCTTCGTTCACTCTAGACTATGCACCACAAAGGGCTGCGTGGCACTCATGGAAGTTAAATGCCCAAACCCTTGCTCGTAAAAATGCGTTAATTATCGTTGCGCCTCGTTATCTGTAGATTTATAGAGAAACAAGCAATACGGGATCTCGTATGTCTATGTAAAAAGCACTTTCTCCTCTAACGTCTGTTTTTAATTCACAACACGAACAATATGAAACGCTATCTAATTATTTCTTCTATTTTTTTCGAAAATGTGGGAGAAACTCTTGAAATATGAAACAAATGATGAAAATATTATTTTATAAATAGAATTAAAAAAACAAATATACATATCTTTGATATCATATCATATACATATCTTATATACAATGACTTGAAGAAGGAGAGAGAAAACCTAGCAAATTGAAAAAAAAGAACAAAAAATTTTAATTTAAAAAATCATTTAATTAGTTTTTAATTTACTTAAAATAAAAATATATTAATTTATTTAAACTTTTGCCGGCAATATGGGAATTTAAAGACCCAGGTGATTCTTTAAAAAATCGCGTTTTTTCAATGTTTTTGTTTCAATTTGAATTTGTAAAACAATTCTATTTCCGCGACGGTAAAATATTTGTAAAGGTTTTTTTATAAAAGCTTTTACAAGTATACGAGAATTTGTTTAAATTTTTATACAGTCTGAGAAACACTGTAAAAAACTTGTATTGATCTTAAGTAAAATGTTAATCAAGTTGCAAAAACCGGTATTCTTCTATCTTTCCAAAGAAAAAATAGAAAGAAATAATATTTCGAAAGAGATAATGCTTTTACGAATGAGATCGAAGTATTATTCTCGACACATGTGAAATCGAGCGATTTACTTCTTTTTTTCTGCAATTTGGAAAACGCAAAAAGCGACGTGATTCTCCCCAGCGATCGAGCATTCATTCATAGAAGCTCAACCTTCCTATTGCAATTCTCACCCCTGAGACGCACCCTGCTGAACGGCGAATAAGGGTGCGGGCGGCGGTAACGGCGGCAATAGCGACGGTGATTCGATCCCATCGACATAGGGAGGAAGAAGGGTAGTAGCCGACGACCCCAGACTTTAGTCGCAATGTGCGCGTCGTCTCGGCGCAGTTGCTCTTCGTTTTGTGCTTCCGTGAGATTAAAATATCTCGTTGGCCTTGCTTTAGATTTTTCTAATCTCTTGATATACACACAGACACAGACATACACGCACACACACACACACACTCGCGCGCGCAACATTTGAAATAGAAGACTGATATATATTTTTTTAAATGCTCGGTCAAACTGCGACAGAGAAAAAAAAATTAATTCTGTTTCCTTTATCTAATGATTTTTTATTTTCTCTGTTATGTAATTGTCATCGGCGTTGCGGTGTGACGATTCTTCTATAACGAAAGGAAGAAACATTTATTATACATTCTCTCTGTTAATTTTGAATGAACACATTCGAGTGTTATATATGCACGTGTATATATTTGTTGTGAAAATTCTAAAAAAGAAATCCGCAACGTTGTTACAATTGTAGATCATCACTTGTTTCTTTTTGAAAAATAAAAATTATTTAAAAAAAAATCAGTTTGATTGGCCAGTCTCGGAAATAATGTACTAATTAATTTTGGAGACGAAGAACGCAATGTCAAAGTGAGATTTTTCCTTGGCGACGACGCCATGCGACGGTAGGATTATTTTGTGCGGAGAGTTGCGGAGGATGCGCGCAAGGGTGTGATGCAGCGTGTATAGGCGAGCTCTCTCTTGGCAATTTCGCGTGTCGCGATCGGGCTCTCGATATCGATTCCAGAAGGGCACCGGAGCCGCGCACTCCCGTCGTCCTTCGGTCAGCAAAATGGCCGCTTGTCGACAATGTTGTCATCGTCGTCGTGTTCATCGTCAATGCGCGCGAAATCGATGAAAGCCAGAATCGATCGATTCGGATCAGGTCAGAGCCGGCGATCGTAGTCTCGTTAGCTATGCGATTAATCGTGTGGTCCAAAAAGGATGTGGATCGCGTCGGGATAAAGCTGTTGCGTAAGTCAAGTTTATCTCGATAGATACTCAGACGAACACAAGTACTTTTTAAACAATAATTTATCGAAAAGTTTCATGTGTGTACACTCACGAACTATCTACATATTTAAAACTAAAATCTGTACAATATCCGTATCGAAAATGTTTATGATATCTCGCGCGTAATTCTTCTCAAACTTACATTGCTTTGAGAAGAAAACGCTTCTCGACGCTTGTCGTTCTCGAACAAATCAAGCTTCTAAGAATAAGATATCACAAAGATAATTGTGTTCTAAGTTAACACTTTGCAGGCGGAAGACCGTGATCAGAAAGTTCTGTATAGAACGGCGCCCGTCTACAAAGTGTTAAAATATGCAAATTGTTGCGACAGTTGTACATATAGTTTGCGGAAATGTATCTGCGGACCATCACTTGTACAGCACTCGACTCATCGCGATATCTTAACTAATGTTAGTTGAAAATTAAACAAATTCTTGAAGTAAATACCGCGCTGATTTTTGTTTGTAGATTTGTCAAATTACAGGCATAAAAAAATTTTTAACGCATTTTTTTTTTATTACCCAGCAGTATAGTAAGATCGAAGAACATCACTATCCTGCCCAGGGTGAAAAAAATATCTCTGTTAAGAGTTGGACATGAATCGGATATTCGAATGGTCATTATTGGAATTGTTAATCATCCTTTTAAGATGCGGTAATGATAATTTTACTGTGCTAATACTAGTCTTGTTTACGTGTACATAAAATAAGCGACGAAAAATTGGTGTTGCGCTCGTTACTCGCACTTAATTGTTGATTTACGGAAACACTTGTGAGAGATCGCAACGCGTCTTTTGGATAAAAAAAAAAAAAAAAGAAAACACAAACCACTTTCAGGTGTCACAAAATCAAACGAGCCAAACTTAAAAGTCGTCGCTCCCACATCTCACGTAGCTTTATCCGGCAACGTAACTGTTTTTATTCTGCGTACATCGGACATGGAGTTTTCTACGGTATCCACAATTATTACATCCAATAGCAGTACAAATGACATCAGAAAAGATGAGAGAGATAAAATCGATTCCGAGAAGGAAGGAAGTAGCAGATGTAACAAATCATTTGCGCTTACGTATGTAAAAAAAAAAATTTCACATAAAAAGCACATTGAAACAGATCAGAACTGGAATGTAATTGCAATACAATTCCGAACAATTTTCCGCACCGCTCTTTTCTTCTCGTCGCTGTTTTATTTTAAAAACTGAGAAAAGTAATCGCAATTAAATTCCAGTTCTAAAAAATTGTCTTCTCAAGAATCGCGCTTTGTTTATGTAGTTCGCCAGATGCTATTAGTCAGTTTTAATTTAAAAAAAAAATAGGCATTATTAATAGACGACAAGAATAAAAAAACAAAAACTTTTTCTCTTTTCAAAAGTTCTTCTCTTTCGAGAGACTTTGACTTGATATTTCCTAATAGAAAACAGTATTTATTAGCGCACACGCGAATTAATTTTAACATTCTTTTTACATATTGTAATTTTATTTATTTTATATATTTTTTTTCTTCTTAGAGTACTATATATTGATGGCCTTACGTCAGAATTTATCGGTAATTTTCCTCTGGATACTCTGCCTTCAAAAGATGAGAACACTTCTGTGATAATACCCTGTGGTGTCTTCTCACGTGGCGGAGTTTATACACTACAAATTAAATCCTCAACCGAGGCTGCCAAACACAACACTGCCATTACTGGGCTGTCCGAGATTGAGGTGAGAAAACACACACATCCGCATTAAATTGTAAAATTATTTGTGGAAATTTGTTGTACGTACCTTTGTATGTACCATGTTTTTTTCTTTTTTTTTTGGCACTGTCTTTAGATGAGCAGTGCCTTAGATGTAAAGTGGCCAATTCCTTCTTTGCTTCTGGAATCCCATCATTTTGGTACATATCCTACTCAACCAGTGGTAGTCATCATAAAGTACAATGAAGTTTTATGCGTACCTGTTGACGGCGTGCCAGTAGCGGCTTACAATTTAAAACTCATATATTGTGGCACCACTGACACTGCCTGCGATCCACAAAACAACGACCGCACGCAAGTAAGTTCTATATAATATATATATATATATATATATACAATAAAAAAACGATAATTCTTAAAATCTAATTTCCTAACGTATTACTTTTTTTGTGTAACTGTTTTCTAGGTGCTTTTCTATAAGGAAATAACAGGTTTTACTTCGCCAAGAGTCATTAAATTAGATTGTGATCTCTTTGGACTTGCGGGAAACTATGCGCTTAGATTAAAAGCCTCGAACTCCAATCCTTCCGCGCCAACTATCAGCGCGTACATTAAAGTAATTAAAGTTTTCTCATTTTGATAATAGAATCGCATTATTGTTATTATGAGAAAGAGAACACAGTGTTTGAAAAAGAAGTGTGAAAATGTTTCTTTCGCTTAAAATAAAAATACTCTCTTACCTACAAGAAAAAAACAAGATTACGTTCTTTCTTGGTTTTGCTCGCAGGTAGAATGGTCCAGTGAGTACAGCTTCAACGTTCACGCAAAATCGATTTATCCTTGCGAGGGATCGACCGGCATATCGGTCCTCTTTCAATATCCCGCGTGTCGTCTCGACGGTGATCGCGTGCGCGTTTACGGTCGTCTCCAAGCGGACGTGAGTTCCCTGGCGCCACCGACCGCGTTGCACTACGTCGCGGAATTGACAGCGACGCTGGGCAAACATTCGTTGAACTTCGACTGCGACATCTTCACCGAGAAGTTCATCGAGTACTGCTTCATTTATGTGAGCCAGGCGTTTACTGGCGCGATGGCGGAAGTAAAGCTTGCGTGCATACCTACTTTTCCATTATTGGGTGAGTAATTTGTTTAAAAGTTTTTAAAAGCTTTCTTTAACAATTTTGACGTCTTATAATTCACTAGGCACATGAAGTTACGGCGAGGTTCATCCTTTTAACTTACGAGCGACGAATGTCGCGCACGGTCAACTTGAATTTATAATTTTTTTTTTTGCGCAAAATTAAATGCATTTGTTACATTAAATATTTAGTTTATTAGTATATACTGGTATAATATATGTATGTAACTTTTACCAAATTTACAATAGCTTACAACAAATAAGTGAGAAATTATATCGATACAGAAAACAATACAGCTGGTTGGGGTCCTTGGAGCGAATGGAGTCCTTGCAGCAGCTCCTGTATAGGTGGAACTCGCACTCGATATCGATTTTGCGATACACCGCCTCCAAAATACGGGGGAAAATTTTGCCAGGTCGGTGTTTGACTGTCTGTATAAAGAAACGATCAGTGAACGTGTAGATAAAATGTTGTATTTAAAAATCAAACAGGGAAAAGCGGTCGAAACTGAGTCGTGTGGCGGTGCCGACGGGATTGACTTTCAAAAGGAGTGGAACGCCGAGGGTTGGGAGTGTCGTCACGGAACGATATTGGCAGCTGCTAGACCGGAAATCAAGGCGCATATTGGCGAGCACTGCCGATGCGGTTGCAGTATCTATTTTCAAGACGAAACCTTAAACAGACTTCTGGCGGCGAGCACACAAGCCTGTCCCGGTCGTTCCTTCTGGTTCTTGCATGTAAATTTTGACAAATTTTTTTATTGTACATTTTTTCAGACACTTAGCAATTGCGTTCGCGCAAAATCAAATACATTTTATTACAATATATACGCAGGCGCAATCAAATTACACGATACAGTTACGCTTGGATCAAGCCCAGTTTCCTTGTCCGGGACAATATTTACGCGCACGTGACGGAGATTCGATGAACGCGGAACTTTTAATGGATATCGGATATAACAAAGGTGAAACCTCTACGAGAACCATAGTTTCGTCGGGTCAAAGTTTGCTCCTGGAGTTTATCAGCGACGAATTAAGTGCCGCCGATGAAATTTGCGCGGGTGGTTTTCTAGGACATGCGAGCATGTTTCGTAAGCGTTTTTAATTTCTCTTTCAATGTTAAATTCAGACAAAACAAAAATGAAGCAAAATCATAAAAAGATCCCGTTCTTTTTTTTTTTTAATTTAATCGTGAAGTCACTACATTGGTTTTTTCAGACAAAATGTACGAGAGGAGCAAGACGTCATCTCCTTTGGAAATAAATTCCACCACATCTATTGAGCAATGGATTTCCTGGGAACCGGGCTTTCTGGCGACAGCATCTATTTTGATACTCGTATTGTTCATATTTATCTTTCTAGCAATACTGCAATGCGCACTAGGATACAGAAAATATCATCGCGCAGAAGATTTAGACAGCTTAACCGAACCTTCCGGTGAATATCTATAGTACACATAAGTAAAACAAGAAATTATTATTATTGTTAATATTTTGTATTATTGCTCATTATAAATTACCTTTAGAATGCAGTGGCGCGCAACATATGATGGAACGAATGAAAGCTGTGTCTTCTACGACACTAATTTCGGAAGTTGCATCACTAATGGGAAAGTGTACACCGAGATTGTTAAAACGCAAGCGGGCACCCTGCGCAATGGAGGACGGCTACGATAGCTCGGAAACTTTGGCGGAGTAAGTTGCTTGCGTTATTAATATAAATAGTAATATTTAAATATGAGAATATAGATCAATATATATAAAAAAAAAATTAATTAATTAATCAAAAATGTATTAATCGTGACATATATTTGTTATTTTATCGCGTATTTTACATCAATCGTTTCAAATAAATAAATTTAACATTAATAATAAATAAATTTAATTTGTCTAATAGATACGAAGACGAAACCAGTTTGAGTTTAAGCACGTTAAAGCAGAAAGATAACGAAGAAACTTTAGAACAAAGCGCAACACCGTCGGACAAACCGCACATTGAGGCAACGTCGAAAACAATATTGGCTATTATTCCAGATAATCAACCGGAAGTAAAATACGCCCGACCAGTCAAGTAAGAACAAAATACACGTTTGCAAATAATACATAATAAACAAACGGAAATATAATATTAATTTATTAAAACTTGATATTTGCTCTTGTTACACGCTAATTGTTTACATACTTTACGCTGCAGATTACGCACTTTAGGATCGGATAGCACAGCAGAGGACAAACTGACGTCGAATGATACGAGATATACAGCGAGCAGCAGCATCGACAGCTCGCATATTGCCAGACTTCATCGTCCCACATCGAATCTCTCGCAGACTAAGGTAGAGAAGAAATTTAATTCTGATTATTTTGTTTATTTAATTTACATTGTCAAAATATTTTTAAAAGCGTTTTAAAGAAATTAAAATGACAAAAACTTTGTTGAAAGAAGGAATCGTCGACGAACAGTCCACTGTCGGGTACTTCGACGCTGAGCAGAGGCAAGGAGACGAAAGAACGTCGAAATCGCGAACGACTGCTGCAAGGTCCGGGCTCGGAATTCAGTTTGACAAATCCGGAGACGGATATGGAACTGGATTATTACGACTACAACGTCGTGAACGCCGGAGCCGCGCCAGGCTCGTATTTAGGTATGGATCCAACTTTTCTCTTATGGATTCCGCCCTTGTCGATGTCCGAGGATTCTGAAGATCCGTCTGCGGCTCGTCCGGTATGCTCGGATTATTTTCAAAGCGCAAGAACGACGAGTCCGACGTTATCACGGCTGCCGGAGGGCACCGAGGGCGTAACTTTAACCCCGGCCGAGTATCGCCGAATGCGACACCAAGTCGCGACCAATGTCAAAGAAGCCTGCAGACTGAGCTTCGAACAGAAACGCCAGGACTCGACGTCCTCGTCGTCGTCGAAGAACGACTCTTCGTCGGGCGGTAGCGTTCTCTCCGAGGATAGCCTCGGTAGCGAGAGCAGAACTGCCAGGCTGAATGAACGTCTGTTGCCGATTCATCGAATTCTAGAAGACTCCAGAATCCGCGTAAGCGAAGAATCCCTGTGCAGTCAGCTTACGGCCGACAGAACGGTACAAATTCACGGTACTAAATCCGATCTTTCTCAGGATACCTCCAAGAGCAGTCAGCAGAACAGCGACGTAAATATCAACAAGCCCGATCCGAAATCGGAGTTCATAGCGGAGAAATCGAGACAAACCTCGAAGAGACATCTCGAGGATGTTGGCAATTGCGCTACTTCGAGTTTTCATGTAAATAAAAGAACAACCGATTCTCACGAGGACAAGAAACATCATTGCTTCGCAAACGAGACCACATCCAAGTCCTCCGGTAAGTCGACGAGAGGTGGATACACGGGTGGCAAAGATAAGGATTCTCAAAATGCAAAAGACGACTCCAAAAATCTTAACACGACGAGCGGCCAGTGTAAATCTCGCGACTTCAATCAATTTACGCCGTCTCGTGAGACTACGAAGCTGTCGGACTGCACCAATATTCCGATGATCGAACTCTCGGGACCGCGATTGAGTTTGTCGATGACGTCTCGAAGACTGGCAACAGATGCTCTAAATATTAATCTGCAAAAAGAGATACAGAGTCCGGATTACGGTGTCGAGAGCGACATGAATGCGGAACCGCACGAGTCCTTTTACAATTTGCTTCATGAAAACGAAGACGGCATTAAATTTGCAGATGACGACGACGAATATATTGATAACAGAGTAAATCTGTGAAACTCTTACACAGATCTTGCAATCGGTGCAATACATATGTAGAGAACATGTTACGTGTCTGTGTGTATGTGTGTATGTATAAATGGAAATGAAGAGAGAGAGGCAATAAGTATATTTTGAATAAATACAGCACATTAAGAAAATAGATCTTAGCAATAAAATATACATACACATACATATATATATAAATATTTCGCTCTCTTAGTATTATTATTATATATTTCTTAGTATTATTATTATATATTTCTGATATTTTTATATATATTATGTAATTTTTAACAAGATTCTTTATAATCATAGAGGAAAGTTGTCGATATCGACGTACCACATTTTGTTTTTTTACACATATTCTTTAAATAAAACCTAAACCTAAACTTACAACCTTGAAACCACAAGTACAAACTAGCAAAAGTGTTCCCTATAAGATGGCATTGCAGTTTTTTTACACCATTGTTTCGTGTCGCTATTAGCAACTCTCCTCTATTAGTTTTATGTAGATTTTTTTTACGTACGTATTTTGTATTGTATGTATTATCTAAATAGCGGTCAAGCTGTGACTCTTATTCCCGCATCCACACTTGCATTCGCACCTGCATCAAGTTATGTATATAAAATTATTCTGTATAACTATAATGCTATGTTTTGTAAATGTGTGTATAATATAAATTATACTATATATGTAAATATATATTCCGTCCATCACATTTGACATATACCTACACACATAGTCGAGTCAAATCTATTTAATTTTACCGCATTTATTATCGTTCTTCTTTTAACAGTTTTATGCTTTTCACATAAAACAAAAGAATAAATTGTACAAATAATTTGAAATTTAATTGTTAATTAAACACCGTTGGATCTCTGATCGGTATTTTTATCGTCCCTTCAGCTTGAAGAGCTTGCTATTCAAAAGTAGAATATTTCGTGATTTGCAACAAAGCTGATGCTTAAACTAAAAAATTTATATACACCATATTTATACATATATATTAAATGTAATTTCTCTGTGATATGTTAATGTAAACTTACCGCTTATATAATAATATCAAAATAAACGTTTTTTACATTTAACATATATTTATCTCGTCTTTCGAATTATCAATAATCATATTATTTAAAACAGATACGTACACAACAAATCTTCTTGCAGTTTCAAATATTTTTGTTTTACGATTCCTATGCAATTCAAGTATCTTACATTTTAAATCATATATAAATTTACTGTCGAGTTTTTTTATGGCTTTGTGAAAATTTTAAAACAATGTTAAAACTATGTCTTTGTATTATTATGGTATGTTTTTACGCAATAAATATCTAATTAGTGCAGTGTCGACGCTTAGGGGGCGTACAATATTATCAATAGTGTGTCGAGTTTCGAAGAGTCGAATGATAATTATTCGGGCGCTATAATGAGAGAAGAGACTTAGTTCAATCAGAGCTCATGTTTTGTACCGATCGCAATGAGGTTACTATCAGTTTTTGGGGTTTTTATTCTGTGGCAGGTTCAATCTGGTATGTAAAACAATTGCTTATTTTTTATTCACTCACTATATTTGCATGATAAAGTAAAATAAAGTGAAATTTGACAAAGAATAATTTAATTGTTACACATATGTATATAACACATTTCAAAACTATTATTTTAACACCGAGAAAACTCTTAGATTTAAATTGAACTAATATTACCACAAGCAAAGAGAAAGAAAGAGAAATAAAAAAGAAAAGAGAAAATTATTTTGCACGAAATGAGATAAAAATTTATAAATAAAAATGGTAACATTCTTCTTTCTAGGTGTTTCTATTACGCAATATCCAAATTCGGATGTTGCAACAAGAGCATGCAAAAATGTGGAAAGTTCGTCGTCCGTATATCGTCTTAGAAAACAAATTTTTTGTAACTATGATAATACCGTACTTCCAACTCATCCTAAAACGGATATTTTCTTCATCAATCTGAAACTAGTACCGAAGATGATGGAATTTGTAAGTTCACTGTAAAAAAGAAACGACTTATTTAAAAAAAATATATATAACACAATAAGTGTGTTTCATAAAAAAAATTCTAAAAGTTCTAAAAGAAAATTCAATACTCTTCTTTCTAGACCAGAGACATTGGTATATTATCATTACACAGCTGGATATCAATTGTAAGTGCGCAATTTCTTTCTTCTCTATTATACATTTAGGTTTTTATGTTATCAAATATTTAATTAACAGGTTTGGAAAGATCCAAGTCTTACTTGGATACCGAGCGAATACGAAGACATTACAGAAATTCATGTGAAAAGCTGGGAGATCTGGAGACCTAATCTGTGTGTCTTCAATTCGTAAGTTAAAGGAATATTTTTTATGGTAAAAGATAAACAAGTCAATTTGTGTTTGCATTTTTAATCTAATGTTCTGGATCGCAGAAATAAGTTCCTAACGTGTTCATATCTATATTTTAACTTTACCAAACAGTTAACATTAATATTGTTTTGGTTTATTTTTAGTGGCGACATGTCGAATTACTGTAATTTACAGTTGTCAGACTGCTTGCTGTACAGTAAAGGCACCGTTGCTTGTGTGTCGGCCGAAAAATTTACATCCATATGTAATGCCGATAACACTTACTGGCCGTACGAAATACACCAATGTAATATCACGTTTGGTTTCTGGGGACACAAAGCAGAAGAAGTGAATTTTAGAATAAACAAAGACGGAGTATGTAGTAAATAACTTAAACATATTCAGACATGACACAAGTTTTGTTGCAAGATAATTTTGCCGTGTAACATACAACAGATATTTTTATCTTGATCAAATTATACTGTGACAAAGTAAAAGTTGTGCGGTGTCCAAATATTAAAGTTATTCACTCTCTCTCTCTCTCTGTATGAGTGCGCGCGCACGTAATTATAAAAAAAATATATGTATATTTAATATATATTCAATTCATGCATTATATAAAATATGTCATATAAAACCACAGTCATTGACTTTTGCGACAAAAATTATCTGCAATATTTTTAAAAAAGATCTGCATTGTAGAATTAATGTAATTAGAGTTTCTTACTTGATATATTCGTTATATGATTGTTCTGAAATTGAAGTTTTGTTGTTTACAGATTGACATGACCAATTTTAACAATGATACACAATGGGACTTTAAGTTTGTACACTCGGTGAGCGAAATTAAACAACTTAAATGTTGTCCGAACAAATCTTATCCTACGATCACTTACAATTTCCTTTTAACACGGCATTACGACATAAACCACATATCTCACGTTATACCGACGATTGGTGAATACACACATTCATACGTATACTTTAATTTGTTCGCGTAACAAATCAAACGACGTTTTTGATATTTGACGTTTTTATAGTTTTGATGTTGTTCACTATACTAGTGCTGTGGTTAGATCCGAACTCGATTGAACGAATGTTGGTAGCAAGTGTGAATTTTATTGGCCATTTAATTTGGATATTTCATTTGTTCTGGAACTTGCCATTCAACGGCACTAATCCTCCTAACTTAAGTAAGTAACGATGCGTAAAAGAATGCGCAATGAGTAAAAAAACAAAAATATCACGAAATAATAATATTCTTAAATGTGATTTAAATCTCGTAATTAATTATATTTTTGTATTATTTTATTCCGCAGTACTATACTACGGCGAATCTATGGCGTTGGCTACTTACGCGATAATTTTGACGGCGTTGTTACGAAAATTGCAAGATACAAACACAAAAATGCCGAATTGGATCTCATCCACGACGTCGTTCGTCTTGAGCAACAAAGCTGGTCGTTTTCTGATCTCGAATGACAAAGATTTCGAAATGACGGATGAAGATGCAACGAATGAAGGGATCTCGGAACTTCCAAAATCCAAAGAGATGAAAATAAAAGAATTGTCTTGGAGACATTTCGCCTCTATTGTCAGCTGGCTGTCTCTCTTTTGCGTAGTGTTTGTTTACATAATCATTTTTATCATTTTCACGCCTGTACGATTTAATTTATAGCAAAGAAATGCAAAGCAGAAGATATTGCAGAAACATAATAAAAATATTTCAATATTGCGACATTTCTAAGGAAAATATCTACTAAATAAGGGAAAATCACATTTTCTTGCAATTTTATGTGAAAATTTGTATATATATTGATAAATTTTATATAAAACATGAAAATACATAAAACTGAAAAAATTACGTCTTTTGCAATTAAATATAGTTCTTACAAAGTTTAATTATCAAATTACTTAGATTTAGACGTCTTCGACATTTGTAGGTGACGTCAGAGAAGCAAAAATGATCAAAAGTAAGATGTAAAAATATACATTTTGTTTAAATATTAAAACTATGTAGAAATATACACGTTACACGTTTAGAAAAAAAAAAAAAAAAAAAAAGAAAGAAATCGAAATCTTAGCAAATTACTAACATACAGGTGTGAATGATGATGAAAAAGGAGCCGTGGAGTCCCCAAAACGTAACAATACAATATAATACAATATTATACAATATAATATATATAAATAGTTACATACACAATCCTACCTACCTACCTACCTATCTTTCACATATCTTAAACGTTACTAGCGTTATTAGGATTAAGGCTGCATAACAGCCTTGATCCTAATTTGACATTTCTTCCTACTTATTCGTTTTACCATATTTTCTACCTACTCGGCCTAATATATTTTCTACAAGCGCTTGTAGATACGCATCCCTACCTAATTACCTACCTACTTTGAAAAGTTTTCAAATCTATCAAATATTTTACGCGAGGGACAGTTGTTTTAAAATTAAAAAGTATTATTTTTAATTTATTTTATCTTTTGCGACCGAGTTTTGATATTTTATGATTTAAAGAGAGTATATACCCACCCGATAAAAGCGTACCATATGTAAATAAATGATAGAATAAAAGAAAAGAAAAAATATAT